TGGGGAGCTCCACCAGACGCTCCTTGTGGCCGCGGCCGAGTGATGGGTCCCGCACCCATCACCCGACGCCCCTCACTTGCTTCGTGGCCCTGTGGGGAGCTTTATCGAAGTGGTACCAACAGCGCTGCATTCTCAACTACATACGCTTGGGCACTTCGCCAGGATCATGTTGGCCTGTTCGTGCCATCCTGGAGTACCTCCTGAACGCCTCTGGAGCCGTCTTGAAAGGTTCTTGGGGGCCTCTTGGGAAGTCTTCGGCCACGGTGAGGCCACCTTAGGCCGTCGGAGGAGCACCCTGGGCCGTCTTGGAGAGATCGTGCGGCCATCCTGGGCTCTCTTGGGGCCTGCTTGGCCGTCTCGGAGGGCACCTTAGCCGCAAGTCGGGCGTGCTCCTCTACAGGAGGAATATTCCAAAATAGTCGCACAATAGTTGTGGGACGATGTTTGGATTATGTTTTGACTACTTTTGAGTATCTTTCGTGCGTCTTTTTTTTGTTCGTCCAAGATCCGCCTGTAGGAGGACATGCCCGACCTAATCTTCGCCGTCTTGGAGGCCGTCTTGGCGCCACCCGGAGAGGACAGACCCTTGCGTGCCACCCCCTCCGCGAGGAGGCCGGCTGGCCCGATCGGTCGAGGCCCACAGGGGGGGGGCCTCGGACGACGCAGGACCAGCAGCGGAGGAACGTCTGGCTGGCACGGCCACGGGAGGCGGCGGATGTACAGCGGAGTCAAGCAGTGGCGAAGCGTCTTGGCTCGCCCACAGGCCTACCAAGCAATGTTGTAAGAAAACCTTTTGGGGGTTCCACGGAATGTTCTTAGGACGTTTCTGGCTGGGACGGTCTTGTTACAACACATCGGATGCATGTTCGAAGAATTTCGTTTTTGTCATTAGAACATGTTGGGGTTCCAAGAACACTTCTTGGTAGGCCTACAGGAATGCCGGGACGGTCGGTCCCTGCTCAACAGAAGGCGGCGGATGCACAGTGGAGACCCATGCCAAGAAACACCCTGCTTGCCTCTAGGGTGCCCTGGGTATCTTGGGTTCCGATGGTCTTGCGATGGAAAAAGCGTGACCTTCCCGGACCAGAAATCCATGGACGTCCTGGTGTCTCGGGGTTTGGTTTCTTGTGGGAGGTGTCTTGCGGACTGGCCACCACTGTAGTGGCATTCGGCCCATCCCTGTGTTTTAGGTCCTGGGCGTCCTGGATGCCTGTGGGGATCTCTTGGGGGGCTTCCTGGAAGCATGTTGGAGGCGGTTCTGGGGTGTCTTGGGGGCCTCTCGGGGGCCTCTCGAGGGCCTGGTTTGGGCCTCTTTGGGGCCTCCGGAGCTTCTGGGGGGCCTTCTGAGGGCCTGCTGGCTGTCTCGAGAGTTATCTTTGGGCTGAGGGCTCGAAGTGTCAGTTCGTGTTCCCCCTTGGGGGCCTCTCTTGGATCGTCTTGGGGTCCTCTTGGGCCGTCTTTTGGGGCCCTTCTGGGCCGTCTGGGGGGCATCTTGAGGGCCTCTTGGGCCGTCCTTGGGCGAACTCGGGGTTCCCCTGGCGTGCGCATCCTCGGCTTTCGCGCTAGCATGCTTGGGTTATTTGAGGGTCGGCCCGTTTTGTTCATGTCGTCGCGTTCCAGGGGTCTTGGAGCCCGTTTCTTTATTGCTTGGGGCATGACGGGCGTCATGGCCCCCGCTCCCCGCCCCCATGACGTAACGCTCCCTCCCCCAGTGCGCTTCGGGCACTGCCGCCGTGCGCATTGGGATCCGCGTAGGTGTCCGCGTAGGAGTCCGCATAGGAGTCTGGTCCGCAGTCGTCGGTCGTCATCGTCGTCGTCGTCTTCGTCGTCGTGGTCGTCGTCGTCGTCGCTCGTGGCTCGTCGCTCGTCGCTCATCGTCGTCGTGCGCGCGGACGCGGCTGGAGATTTTTTTGTATTAATTCCGGGCCGATGACGGTAATCATCTGTGGGGGGGTGGAGGGGGTCGATGGCGTCACGTTGCGCGCCGGCGGCGTCTGGGAATTCTTAGGAATGACGGAGGACGGGTATCGGGTATGGCCAGGACCCCAGGTAAGGGGACCCGGTTAGTGGTAGGGCCCCAGAGCCTTTGAAGTGGCCAGAATCACTGAACCAGTTTTGCCATAGCTGGTGTTTTTTTCGGGTGACGGCAGTTCCGGTTAGTGGAAATGGGACTGGGGGGCGCCCCCAGTACAAATCACTAAACCAGGTTCCACTAAACCCAGTTCTGCCAACGCCCGAGGGTAACACCAGCATGTATGTGGCGATCTGCACCACAACGCTTGTGTACACCACAGTGCCTGCGTGCACCACAACGCCCGTGTACACCACACCGCCTATGTACACCACAGCAGCCGCGTGCAACACAGCGTCAGGTTGTGCCACCGTGCCTGCGGGCACAACAGCTCTTGTGTACACCACAGCGCCTGCGTACACCACATCAGCCGTGCGCAACACATCACCAGTCTACACCACAATGCTTGCGTGCATTGCAGTGCTTGTGTACACCACGGCGCCTGCGTGCACCACAGCAACCGTGCGCAACACAGCACCACTGTTGTATATAGAATGTTAGAAGGAATCCTTACGAATGAATGCAACGCTTGCGGATTCCACAGCAAACGATACAAAATAATCCTTCTGGACAAAGGAGCGCCGCTGGAATCTACGAGTCCTCCCGAGTCCGCCCGCATCACCCTAACTCCTCCCATCTGCGTCCAGGAGGCTCCAGCTAAATTGGCCGTCCGAGAACCAAGTGGACCGATTCAACGGACCATTCTGCGGTGCACGGTGAGATGCGCACGTGCACTGTAGCGCCAGTCCACACGACAGGGGGCAAGGAGAAGGAAGAGGAGGAGGAGGAGGAGTTGGATGAGGAGGAGGAGGAGGAGGAGGAGGAGAAAAGGAGGAAGAAGAGTTGGAGGAGGAGGAGGAGGAGGAGGTGGAGAGGAGGGAAAGCGTCGCCTTCGATTATCAGCACTTTCCTGGCGTGGCGTTTGGTTTTCCGCAGCTGATCCTCACGTACATGCTCCTTCTACCTGTCCTTCAGGCATTGTGGTGTACACTAGCGCTGCGTTGCACGCGGATGCTGTGGTGTAGACAGGCGTTGTGGCGTGCACAGGCGTTGCGGTGCACGCGAACATTGTGGTATACACAGGCGATGTGTTGCACATTGTTGCTGCGGTGTGCACATGTACACTTGCGCAGTAATGCATGCAAGCATTATGGTGTACACAGGCGGTGCGTTGCACACGGTTGTTCCGGTGTGCGCCTGCGCTGTGGTGTACACTCGTGCTGTGGTGCACGTGATCGTTGTGGTGTACACAGGCGCAGTGGGGCAGATCGCCACCTGCATGCTGCTCGCGTCGTCGTCGTCGTCGCTCGTCGCTCGTCGCGTCGTGCGCGCGGGCGCGGCTGTGGTGCCGGAGCCACGGCGGGGGGAGGCGTTACGTCATACCGCCCCCGCCCCCCCCATGACGCCCGTCATCGCCGAACATAAAGAAACGCGCTCTTGCATCCCCTCTCCCCAGCCTTATCGCTGATTTTGACCGCAATCTCGCTCAGCCCTGGAGATCTCGCCGGTGGTTCAAAAATGGGGTCCTGAGGGACGGGGTCGTAAGGTTAGGAAGGTATCCGAGGGTGGATTTACATTTTTGAGGCACCTCATCCTTAGGACCCCATCCTTAGGGACCCCATCTTTGAATCACCGATGTAGAGGCCTGCCCGCAGCGCGCTTTGGGACGGTAGCCGCGATAGGTTTTCAATAACCCCCAAATGTATAATTGCGAAGCTCATCATTGTTTGCGTGGGCTTACTGACGAATTGGGACCCCAACGCCAATGCGAAGCTAATCGTTCCCCCGCGACGGCCACCCGCGGCGATCACTGCGGATGATCGCGGGGGAGACGAAGGCCCCTGGTGGTGACGAGGATGACGAGGGCAAGGGCGAGGGGGAGAGGGACGAACTACAATGCCAGGCGAGAGCTTTGGGGGGGCCGGGAGGTGTTCATTGAAGACCACTTGCGGTTAGACTTAAGCCGGGCGTGTCCCTCTGCATGAGGGATCTTCAAAAATAGTCAAAACATATTTCCCCAGGCCGAAAGAATTTGCCTCTTGCATGGGAACGCATGGATCCATTTGGATTCAATTACGTGTGTGCGAGAGTCACGTGGATCCAATTTCCGTGTCTTCTGGATCGTATTTGTTGGCGTGGAACTTTCGTGGATCCAATTTCTTTGCTGGAGTAATTTGATCAAATTTCCGTGTCTTCTGGATCCATCTTTTTGGTGTGGGAGCTTCGTTGATCAAATTCTTTTGTTAGAATATATATATATATATATATATATATACATATATACATATATAAACAAATGATAATAATAATGGATACAAGGAGCCCAAGGGAAATGGATCCACGGAGCCTTGGACCTGCAGACCAAGCTATGATTCTACGGGGGAGGGGTTTCGCGACCGAGAGACACAAAACACGGGGACGAGTAGGGAAACACAAACCAGGGGCGGGCGAAGAGGAAGATGAAGGAGGAAGGACGGAAAGGAGGGGGAGGACGACGACGAGGATGAAGAGGAGAGACGCTCGAGCGCCACAGCGGGCCTGGCCACCTCCTCCGAGCCCCTCCCATAACATGTCGCTGGTCGAGCGCCACAGCTGCCCCGGCCAACTCCCGCAGCCTCCATAACACTTGGGTGCTCGAGCGCCGCAGCGGGCCTGGCCAACTCCCGCCACCTCCCATAACATATGCCGCACCCCACCTCGACGCGAGCGCGATATGATCGCTGCGGCCGCATCCGCTAAAGCCAACGACGCTTCGCATTTGTCATGCGGGCCTCAAGAGGAAAATTCTTCGGCCCGCTCAAGTAGTCTGGGGACGATTTCCGGGGAGTCTCGACTATTTAGAAAATTGCCGGACTACTTCTTATGTTTCGTCCAAAAACCGGCTGTAGGAGGACGTGCCCGACCTGAGTTTGGACAGGAGCGGGTCCGCAGCCACTTTGGCTCGAGCGGTCCACGAGTGGTGGCGGGCGGCGGCGCGCCGGAGCGCGCCGGCGCGAGCGGGCGCGCCGATGGAGAGGACCTCCTCCTCCTCCTCCTCCTCCTCGTCCTCCTCCTCCTCCTCCTCCTCCTCCTCCTTTTCCTCCTCCTCCTCTTCCTCCTCCTCCTCCTCCTCCTCCTCCTCCTCCTCCTCCTCCTCCTCCTCCTCCTCCCCCTCCTCCTCCTTTCCCCCCCTCCTCATCCTCCCTCTTTCCTCCTCCTCCTCCTCCTCCTCCTCCTCCTCCTCCTCCTCCTCCCCTCCTCCTCCTCCTCCTCCTCCTCCGTCCTCCTCCTCCTCCTCCTCCTCCCCCCCTCCTCTCCTCCTCCTCCTCTCCTCCTCCTCTCCTCCCTCCCCTCCCTCCTCCCCTCCTCCTCCTCCTCCTCCCCTCCTCTCCTTCCTCCTCTCCTCCTCCTCCTCCGCCCTCCTCCTCTCCTCCTCCACCTCCTCCTCCTCCTCCTCCTCCTCCTCCTCCCCCTCCTCCTCGTCCTCCTCCTCCTCCTCCTCCTCCCCCCCTCCTCCTCCCCTCCTCCTTCTCCTCCTCCTCCTCCCCTCCTCCCTCCTCCTCCCCTCCTCCTCCTCCTCCTCCTCCTCCACCTCTCCTCCTCCTCCTCTCTCCTCCTCCTCCTCCTCCTCTTGCTCCTCCTCCTCCTCCTCCTCCTCCTCCTCCTCCTCCTTCCTTCCCCCCCTCCTCCCCTCCATCCCTCCTCCTCCTCCCTCCTCCTCCTCCTCCTCCTCCTCCTCCTCCTCCTCCTCCTCTCCTCCTCCTCCTTCCTCCTCCTCCTCTCCCCTCCGTATCTCTTCTTCTTCTTCTCCTCCTTCCTCCTCCTCCTCCTCCTCTCCTCCCTCCACCTCCTCCCTCCTCCTCCTCTCCCCCTCCTCCTCCTCCTCTCCTCCCCCTCCTCCTCCTCCTCCTCCTCCTCCTCCTCCTCCTCCTCCTCCTCCCTCCTCCTCCTCGACCCTCCTCCTCTCTCCTCCTCCCTCCTCCTCCTCCTCCTCCTCCTCCTCCCCTCCTCCTCCTCCCTCCTTCTCCTCCTCCTCCTCATCCTCCTCCTCCTCCTTCTCCTCCTCCTCCTCCTCCTCCTCCTCCTCCTCCTCCTGGGTCCCCTTCCACTTCAGGGCTCCCTTCCCAGAGGAGGATGAGGCACCCATGCCGCGATTGCGTTTTTCCTCTTTGGGCCTCCTGGGGGACCCCCGTCGCTAGCGGCATCGGTAATTTCATCGTTTCCCCAAGTTGTATGGCTTCCGATTCCGATGCGGTTCTACTTCGGATTCCGATTTGGATTCCGATGTCTTATTGGAGATCTATTAGTTTGCCGATTTCCGCCGATCCGAATTCTCCCGACTTGGCTGCCGATTTTTGCGAATCCGATTCATTTCGATCGCCGATCCGGCTTATCGATTCGATGCTGGGCTCTCTTGCCCTCCTCTTCTCTGTTCGAAGAAGGAAGTGCGGCATAAGCATGAGCTTTCGAGGGCCCGTGGAAGGGAGGGGGTCCATCACAGGTCGAAGAACTCCGCGCGGGCACTCGAAAAAGTTTACGTTTGCGCCAGTTGTTCTTCTTCTGTCTTCCCCATCCTCATGTATCCCCTCCCCCGGGGTCCAGAGGAGAGTCAGATGCAGATGCCGCAACATATGCGTGTGCATCGCCGCCACGGCCAGGATTCGCCCCGCAATCCTGGTCAGGCGCACGTGCCCCGATGGCGGCCGTAGGTGTCTCACGATGATCCTCAGAACGTGTGTTGGCGCCAGCGTGTGCTGCTGCGCCGCAGCCCCTCGATACAGTCGGGCCGAGGTACAAGATCGAGGTCGGTTACCCTAGTGTTCTTCGTGTGTGAGTGTGTGTGTGTGTGTTGGATGTTCTTGTGCATCATGGGGAGGGTGCCCTTGGACGTTCTGTTTGTTTTGGCCGGAGGAAGGCCTCCTGCTCTTGAAGGATGTTCTCCTGGCCCAGGGGCCGACTGCAGCGCCAACGTGCGCTCTCGTCCGCCGCAGCACTCCGCACGACGGCGGCGATGTGGTGAGAGCCAGGACCGGGCTGCGCGTGCTCGGCGGAATGGAGCGTGGCCCACACACTGCGCCGACACACATCCTGAGGATCCCAGGATCGTGGAATTCCTGTGCTGCCCCGGGGGGGGGGGCCGAATCTCGCTGTCGCCCGTGGCCACTCCTTGGCTGCCCCGCGCGAGGAACGCCTCGGCGCCCGCCGTGGGGCCGGGGGCCGGGCGGCCCAAGTACAACATCAAGCAATTCAGAGGGATTCTTGATGAGGTCAGTCTTGAGTCGGGCCTGTCCCTCTACAGGAGGAGTCTTCAAACATTGTCACACAAATTCTCCGGGGACGGTTATTCCAGTATGTTTGAGAGTTTTTGTGGCGTGTGTTTTGCGTGTTTTTTTTTTTTGCTAAAATCCGCCTGTAGGGGGACACACCCGACCTACAGCGCCGTTTTCAATACGTGCTCCGCGTGCGGATCACGTATTACACGTGCAGGGGCTTAGTAGTAAAAACAACGAGGAGTTCATGCATACATTTATTCATACATTAATCATGTATGAAACAATCCGACGTTTTTTTATTTTTAAAAAAAAAAAAAAAAAAAAAAAAAAAAAAAAAAAAAAAAAAAAAAGCTGCCCTGTGAGGTCAGCCTGGCGAAGAGCGTGGTGGAGCAGGAGCGCGCGCAGGCCCTCGAGCAGGCGGGGCACGTGGACCGGCTCTTCCGGGAGCGCGACGCCGAGGCGCAGCTCATCCAGAAGGAGCTCTCCGTGCAGCTGAGGCCCGGCCTCAAACGACACGAAGATCGGGACAAAATCGGATCGGGATAACTCGAAATCTCTGAGAATCGGCGGGTTTGGAGGATGTATTGGGCGCCGCGGCCGCTCCAGAGCGTTCCGGAACGCTCTGAGAGCGCTCCAGAACGCTCTGGAGCGATTTATTCCGATCCTAGCCCTGTTTTACAGCCACGCTCGGGCCGGACCAAAAGGGGGGGATTGGGAAGCCCTGGCTCCAGATCCGCCCTACTTTGGCTCTTTTTCCACCTCAGAATTGCGTCGGAAATCCACCCATAAGAGGCCGAAAAAGTGGGGCGGAAAGTTCTGCACCCAACCTACAGTAGGGCGGAAATCCACAGAAGTGGGGCGGAAACAGCAGCAGAAAAGTAGGGCGGAAATTGGCACCAGCGGGGCCTGAAAAATAAGGCGGACATTCCAAGCCCTACTTACGAATTTCCCCAAAGTAGGGCGGATCCGGAGTCAGGGAGGGGGGGGGGGTTGGGAAATGTGCTGCATGCAGCTGGTTCCGGCCCCACCGAGGGGCCCATTCCTCGAGACAGGGGCGCCTCCGGCGCCGGGGAGGCGCCGGGAAAATCAGCTGCGTGAGCTGATTCTCAATCCCCCCCTGCTATCCCCCCCTTTCGCCCGACCCGACACGCGCAGGGGGGAGGGGGGGGGAGGCTTCTTAGAAGCGCTAATGATTATTGGAGGGCGCGGGCCTTGTCTATGCAGGTGTGGGGCCAGATGTAGGGCCGGCGCCTTCTGAGAGGCAGCCTCCCTCTAAGAAGCCTTCCACCCTTCCCCTTGACCCCCCTGTGCGGTGACGACGCGAGGTGCGCCGGGCGCTCCTACCAGCAGATCCTGGACGCCAACAGGCAGATCTCGGAGGACCTCCAGGCCGAGGCCGAGAGGATCGGGGGCGGAAAAGAGGGGGGTGATGACTAGGGGGGGGGGATATCATGGCGTGGGCCATGATATCTCCCCAGATTTCATGGCGCCTCTTCTTGTTTCATTACGTCCCCGGCCCCCCCGCCGGGCCGCGCACATGCCGCCGGTCATGATTTGCACCCCCCCCTCTTGGACACCCCCCTCTTGGCCGCTCCCGAGAGGAGGAGAGCGGAGGTCTCCGCCCTGGAGCAGCAGGTGCAGGAGCTGACCGCCAAGGTCGAGTCCTCGGTGAGGCCGTGGAAGGAGGAGGTGAGCAAGCGCGACCTCAGGATCCTCAAGATGCAGGAGTCTGGGGGCCATTTTGCAGGCTTTAAGTGGCCCGGCACGGGTTCCGGCCAGCAGAAGGTGGGGGGGAAAGGGGCCTTCTCGTCGCCACGGCTGGACGCGGCTCGAAGAATGAGTCAGTTTCGATCCCAGGGGGGTCCGCGGACGGATGTTGAGCGAAATTGGGCAGCCGCCTCCAGCAGGAGTCCGCCGTTGACTTGGACAAGCAGCTCCGCGAGGCTCTGCTCGCGCTGCCGCGCGAGCGGGAGAGGCTGACTTCCGAGATAGACACGATCCGGAAGGCCCGGGACGAGACGGTCAGGGAGTTCGGGGCCCTGAAGGGGCAGCTGGACTCCATCGAGGAGACGCACGCCAACGAGAAGGAAGAGGTCAGGCTGCAGGCCAGGAAGGACGTTGTTGAGCTGCAGTGCAGGATGGATGAGGTCGAGAGAGCGACAGAGGAGCAGAAGAAGCGCGATGCCGAGGAGATCCATCGCCTGAACCTGCAAATCAAGGGCCTCCTCCAGGAGAGGCAGGCGGACAAGCGCGAGCACGAGAGGTACGACAGGAAGCTGGAGATGAAGGAGGACGGCTTCCAGAAGATGGTTCACGATTGGAAGGTGAAGACCGACAGCACCCACGAGCAGGCCGAACAGATGCGCGCCAACTACGAGAGAACCATCACGAGGATGGACGAGCAGCTCCAGGAGGCCGAGCGCGAGACTCAGCGCAAGCTGAAGCCCTGGCAGGAGCTGGCGGAGAAGAACGGCCGCGAGATCAAGAGCCTGCGGGACAAATACAACGAGGGCGCGAAGGAGTGCGACAGACTCCGGCAGCGCGAGCAGCAGCTGGAGGAGGAGCTCGAGAAGCGGCTGGCAGCCGCCAACGGCGCCCTCGAGCTCGCGCAACTCGAGACCTACAAGCTGAAGAGGACGGTCGAGAAGCAGGAGGAGGAGGCCAAAGATCAGGACCGGGGGGACAGGAAGCGCCTGGTCATTCTCGAGACCAAGTTGCTGGACGTCGTGGAGCAGACCCAAACCCTCCTTGCCAAGAGGGACATCGAGCTGCAGGAGAAGGTTCAGATGATCCAGAACCTCCAGCAGAAGGTCCGCTCGCAGGCCCTGCACGAGGGCGAGCACGAGAAGCTCTGGGACGAGAGGGTACAGGCGAAGGAGGAGGGCTACGGCGCCGTCGTTGCGCAGCTCAAGTTCGCGGAGGGTCAGATCGAGGAGGAGCGGGGGCGGACAATGAACGCCATCAAGATGGTGCGGAAGCGCGAGCGCAGCATCGAGCGCCTCAAGGCCGAGCACACGGAGGAGCTTCAGACTCGCACTGCGGAGCACGAGGCGCTGCTGCTCCAGAACCAGGAGTGGGCGGGCATGATCGACAACCTCGAGGCGGAGAGGGAGGCCTCCGAGCGGCGGTGGGAGGCGCTGATGGAAGCGAGAGACAAGCGCCAGGACGACCGGGAGGCCGACTTGCGGATCGAGATGCTGCATCGAGACGAGGCTGTGGCGGAGATGGAGAAGACGCTCCAGGGCAACAAGGAGCACTTCGACAAGTCCAAGTCCTCCTGGGAGGACAAGGAGAGAGAACTGGAGATGATGCTCCGGAGCAGGGACAGAGCAATCACTGGCCTGAAGAACGAGATAGAGTTCATCCACGAGTCGTGGGAGCTGAAGTACAACAGGCTCATGGATCTGTTCGATAAGCTGCAGCAGAAGTTCGAAGACGGGGTGGGGAACGGCGGAGTCGTGGAGGCCCACCGCCGCGCCGAGGCGCTCAAGAGGGAGAATCAAGAGCTCAGCACCCAGATCAAGCAGCTCAAGGAGGGCATCAAAAAACAGAAGAAGCAGATCCGGGACCTGCACATCGACATCGACATGGTCACGAAGGAGACTGCGGACGTCTTGGTAGGGAAGGACGCGGCGATGGCAGAGCTCGTTGGCGAAAACGTCAACCTGCAGAAGCAGCTTCAGGCCGCCCACGAGGAGAGGGAAGCGGTCATCAGGGAGCTGAAGGGCGAGCAGATCAGCTTGGCGGAGTCCTTCCAGGACCGTGTCGTGCAGCTGGAGCAGCTGGTGGAGGCCATGCGCTTCACGGACCGCCAGGCCCTGGTCGACAAGATCGACGTCTGGAAGCGCGCCTACGAGCGTTGTGCAATCGCCCGCGACGATCAAGAAGAAGAGTACAAGGCGCTGGTGGACACAAAGGACCTGCAAATCGGCGCCGTGGCGGAGGAGTACAGGGAAGTGCTGAACAAAATGGACCGAATGCAGATGCAGGCCGACGAGGAGCTGGAAGCCGTGAACAAGAAGTGGAAACAGGATCAGGCGAGCTGGAAGATGGAGCGCTTAAAGCTTCAGCAGGAGGCCATGAAGCTGCAGCTGCAGCTCGAGAAGGCCGAGCAAGCAAAGGCCCCCTATCTCCTTCTCTTTCCCCTCCTCTCCCGCTCCTTCCTACACCCCCTCCGACGGCAGAACCAGGTGAGCATGGTCCAGGTGGAGATGCAGGGCTCTGCCGTGAGCAGCGCGGAGACCGACGCGCTGAAGGCCAAGGTCCAGCGGCAGAAGGTCAAGAAGAAGGCGCTGAAGGCGGGGGTGCAGGAGCTCATCACGGAGAACACGGACTGGCGGGCCAAGTGCGCGGCCCTGGAGGAGCAGATCGTTGTTGGGGCCGAGAACCTCGAGAAGTTCACCAAGTGGCGCGACGAGCGCTACGAGGCGATGAAGAAAGAGTACGAGGCCATGAAGGCCATCCTGGAGAAGGAAATGAACACGGCCCAGGACACCTGCAAGGACATCGAGGAGCAGGTGCGCGAGTTCCCGAGCCCGTTCGAGGTCGAGCTCCAGGAGTTGAAGGACAGGTACGCGCAGACGCAGGCTGGGATACTGACCATGTCGCTAGAGAACGCGAAGCTGCGCGAGGACCTGAAGGCGCAGCAGGACTCGTACAACAAGCAGATGGAGGAACTCGAAAAAGAAACAACAATTGCATGAACGTAGATTGCCGGAGCTCGGCGCGCATCTCCCGGATCGGCGCTGGGCCTCGCTGGCGGCGGCGCCTCCGGCGCCGCCCTTGGCGCGCTCCGCGCACCGGGGAGGGGCGCCCAGCGCCGATCCGAGAAGTCCGCGAGGACCTCCAGGCGCCTACGCCTGTGCCGTCTTCTGCTGCCCCAGGAGCTGGAGGCCAACCTCAAGCTGGCCCACTTCCTCCTGAAGGAGGTGGGGTCCGTCGGGGACCTCAAGAAGCTGGGGCAGGGACAGGCCGCTGCGTCGGCGACTCCCGCGGGCTAGGCGCCGGCCGCGCGACTCCCCTGCTCGTCAGGTTGGATCCGCCCGTCGCCGCCGGCGCTCGACGTGGTTGTCGAGCTTCCCGCCCAGTCGAGGTGGTAAAAACGCCCTAAACATAGACTTTCGACGCTCCGCGCGAACCTCTCGGATCCGCGCTGGGCCCCCCCTGACGGCGCCTCCGGCGCCGCCCCTGGCGCGCTCCGCGCGCCAGGGAGGGGGGTCCAGCGCGGATCCAAGAAATCCGCGCGGAGCGCCAAAATCTGCCGTTTTTCTTCTTCTACTATCGGTAGCGGACAAAGAACGGCACAGAGTATGGTAGGTTCGTGTCGAGCCGACGCGCTTGTGACCCCGCCGCGGGCGTTCAGGACTGAGCGCCGCCTGTGGCCCAGAGCCGGCCACTGGAACGGTTTGGCGATCGAAAAGCCGCTGATCGTTCAGGGTGAAACTGTCCACGCGGTGTCAGAGACCAGCCACGGGGTGGTGGCGGCACCATCCTGCCGCACATTTTGTCCGCCTTCGGGGGCACTTGTCCGAGGGCGGCTGGGGAGTCTGCGTCCACGCCTGCTGCCGTGGAGGTCTAGATTTTTCACTCGCGTTGCCAGGGCCCACTGTGGTCCGAATCAAAATCGATTTTCCAGTCCGCTCGGCCCGATCTCGATGTCGAGATCCCTGCGATGCGAGGTGGCCCGATGCTCGCACGGCGCTGTGGTGCATCCCGGCGCGGCCGATCCGATCCGACGCGGTGCCGATGTGGCCCGATTCGATGCTCTTTCCCCGATTCGATGGTGACTGATATTTACCAGCCTGGAACATGGGCATCTCCTCATCACGATGACAATCTCAGGGATTCCTTTATTTTTCCCTTCTTTTTTGAGGGCGAATCCCTAAGATTGTCATCGCCTTTTGGCGTGTCAATCTTAGGGATAGGGATACGTTCGAGGCTGGTTAGATATCGGCGGTGGGACAGGCCTCCCCGATGGCGGACAAGTTTCTGTTGCACCTTCTTTCCTCCGCTCATCTCAGAACACATGTTTCCGACCGCGGCTCTGCCGAACGGCAAAGCCACAGCTCGTCTTCCGAGCGTCACGCCCCACCGCCGAGCTGCCTTTCGAGGAGGGGTAGGTGTTTCACGTCATGCAGCTCGAGGCCTGCGAGCGCGTGCTTGTAAAAGCATAGGATATCAAATTACGCCGCCGCGCAGATCCGCCACCCCGCCGTGTGCCTGTGTGTGCGCGCGCGTGTGTGTGTGTGTGTGTGTGTGTGTGTGTGTGTGTGTGTGTGTGTGTGTATGTGTGTGTGTGTGTGGGTGTGCGTGTGTGTATGTTTGTGTGTGTTTGTGTGTGCGTGTGTGTGTGTGTGCGTGTGTGTGTTTGTGTGCGTGTGTCTGAGTGTGCGTGTGTGTGTGTGTTTGTGTGTGTGTGTGTGTGTTCGGGTGTGTTCAGGTGTGTTCGTGCGCGTGCGTGTGTGTCTTTGTGTGTGTGTGTTTGTGTGTGTGTTCGTGTGTGTTCATGTGTGCGTGTGTGTGTATGTGTGTATGTGTGTGTGCTTGTGTGTGTGTGCTTGTGTGTGTGGTGTGTCTGTGTGTGTGTGCGTGCGTGCGTGCGTGCGTGCCTGCGTGCCTGCGTGCCTGCGTGCCTGCGTGCCTGCGTGCCTGCGTGCCTGCGTGCCTGCGTGCGTGCGTGCGTGCGTTCGTGTGGTGGGGGTCGCCAATGCGCGCATCTGGGCCCATCGCTCAGCTGCGCTACTTCACAAGGATGTTAGTGGTTTTGAGCGTGTAGCTGACCGTTGTGACTGCCCGCCGATAGGATCCATCGGCGCGTCGGAGGGAAACAGTGTGCGTGAGACGGGGGTTGGGCGGGGGGGTCCTGGGGGGAAGGCCACGAATCCCCACAACGTGAGTACTGCTCCTGGTCGTATTTCTGCCAACGCTTCCTGTGGAGTTGTGCACAAGCTCTCCCTCCGCTGCGCCGCGTGCGCGCGCCTCCCGCCCCATGCTGTCTTCTCCTTGCCCCTGCTGCTGCTCTGCCTGCTGCCGCATGCTGCCTGCTGCCCCTGCCGCTGCCGACGCAGCCGCTGCGGGCCTCTCCCGCTGCCGCCGCCGAGCCCGACAGCAGCCACGGCCTCGCAGGGGCCATGACGAGAACGAGGGCCTCGACGCACGCTGGCCGCGGTACGGCGCGGTGGCGGGTGATCAGGGGGTTGGCTCCCCCCGTTCGTTGGCTCACTGGTGGAAAAATGACGCGGCGCTTCGGATATGTTGTTTTTGTTGTGTTTTTTTTTCTCTCTCTCTCTCTCTCTTCCCTCTCCTCGCGCCCAGTTGCCCTAAGCGCCCTTCCGGCCGCTGCTGATGTCGCCCTCCACCCTCGTCAGCCTCGTCCTCCTTCACCTCGTCGCCGTCCTGCTCATCCTGCCCCTCCTTGTGTCTGCGGTCCCCGTCTGACATCGGCCTGCTGCTGGTCTGGCCGTTTGTGAGCCCCTCGCCTGGAGGCCCTTTCCGCACATCACACGGCCATGGGACGTCGCAGGTTGGGCACAGCAGCTGCCACCGAGTGGTGGCCATCAGTGCCGCGAGCGCGCTGCAGCTGCCACAAGCGCAGGGCACGGTTCGGGCCCGACGCCCGAGAGGCCGGAAGCGGAAGCGGAGGCGGAAGGTCGTCATCGTCCACGGGCAGCCCGGTGGCGGACGACGGGCGCGCTTGGCGCGCAGGTCTCCCCAGAGGACCAGAGGACTAGCCCATAGATTGTGAGGGTAGCCGGTAAAACCGTACAGCGTCCGTTCGATGTCCAAGGGCACGTGATTCACGCACTTGGCACGTATGTTGCCACATCTTGTGCAGGAGGGGCCACCTGGATAGCATCCTCTGAAGCTGAGAGTGACACCCTACTTCCAGGTTTAACCGATCCCCATCCCCGTCCCCTTAGAGACCCCCACCAAATTACCACCCCAGTTGGGGATAGACCCCTCGAAACCCGAAGAAAACTACCTATACCCCCATCTAGGGGCGGCCAGCGGGGCCCAGGCCACGCCGCTGGGGATGGGGATCGGTTAAACGATACTCATACATGCAGGCAAGACGCGGAAAGAAGGAGCGAGTTCGGAAGGGGCGCGCGGCTCCTTCAGGTCCTCTCCTCGCGCACTCGGGCGCCTGCGGGGATAGGGGGCCAAGGGAGGGGCGTCGCTCTCCTCACTGCGAGCGCCTTCTGGTGGCAGTCTCCCTGTATGCACGCTTCTGCGGCGCATTCGTGGCCGCGCCCCCCCCCCCCCCCCCCCACACACACACACACACACACACACACACACACACACACACACACACACACACACACACACACACACACACACACACACACACACACACACACACACACACACACACACACACACACACACACACACACACACACCCACACACACACACACACACCACACACACACACACACACACACACACACACACACACACACACACACACACACACACACACAACACACACACACCACACACACACACACACACAGACACAGACACAGAGAGACACAGGACACAGACACAGACACAGACACAGACACACACACACACACAGCCACACAGCACACAGACACACAGACACACAGACACACAGACACACAGACACACAGACACACAGACACACAGACACACAGACACACAGACACACAGACACACACACACACACACAGACACACACACACACAGACACACACACACACACACACACACAGACACACTTGTGGCTCGTGCCCGCGCCCTGTCCCGTCAGGCCACCGTCGGACCGAGGGGTCGGCTCGGGGAGGCTGCCCCGACGCTCTCCGCGCCTGCTGGATGCTCTCGTGCACCCTGGGGGAGGGCACGCTCGGATGCTCCGTGTGCTGTGTGGCCGACGGAGGGCCCGATGTCCTCGAGGGACGCTCCGCTGGCCCAAGCCCGACGGCACAGTCCAGAGGAGACGCGCGAGATCCCCCCACCTCGCCTGGGCCTCCCGCCACCTCGCCTGGGCCTCCCGCCACCTCGCCTGATCCTCCCCCCACCTCGCCTGGGCCTCCCGCCACCTCGCCGACGGCGCAGTCCAGAGGAGACGGCGTTCCGAGCGGCGGCCTGGGCCTCCCGCCGCCTCGCCGCGAGCCGAGCCCCCCCCCCCCCCCTGGCGAGGAGGTCGGGCCTGCAGGCCGTCCCCCGGGACTGTCTCTCGCCGCTCGGGGGCCAGTCCTTCTCCTCGATCCTCCTCCTCCTCGATCCTCCACCGTCCATCGGCCCTTCCCCTCGCCTCCCTAGGACCGCCCTCGCTCCTCCTCCTCCTCCGGCCTCCTCCTCGCCCCGCTCGCCCTCTCGGCCCTCCTCGCCCCGGCCTCTCCGCCTGCGCGCCTCCTCCCTCGGGAGCACCCTCCTCGCCCCCTCCCCGCCCCCGCTCTCCGCCGCCCCCCCCGGCTCCGCCTCTGGCGCCTCGGAGCCTCCGCCCCGGAGCTGCAGGCCGAGCTTCGAGAGCCAGCCGCTGGAGTACGTCCGCTACGCGCCGGCCTCGGGGCGCCACGCGAGGATGCCGCGAGGATGCCGCGAGGAAGCCGCGAGGATGCCGCGCAAGGGCGCGGAGTGGTCGCAGGTGCGTGTGCGTGCGCGTGTGCGTGTGCGTGCGCGTGCGCGTGCGCGTGTGCGTGTGCGCGTGCGCGTGTGCGTGCGCGTGCGCGTGTGCGTGTGCGTGTGCGTGTGCGCGTGCGCGTGTGCGTGCGCGTGTGCGTGCGCGTGCGCGTGCGCGTGTGCGTGTGCGTGTGTGTGTGTGTGTGTGTGTGTGTGTGTGTGTGTGTGTGTGTGTGTGTGTGTGTGTGTGTGTGTGTGTGTGTGTGTGTGTGTGTGTGTGTGTGTGTGTGTGTGTGTGTGTGTGTGTGTGTGTGTGTGTGTGTGTTGTGTTTTATGTGTGTGTGTGTGTGTGTGTGTGGTTGTGTGTGTTGTGTGCGTGTGCGTGTGCGTGTGTGTGCTGTGAGTGTGTGTGTGGTGTGGTGTGTTGTGTGTGTGTGTCTGTGTCTGTGTCTGTGTCTGTGTCTGTGTCTGTGTCTGTGTCTGCGTCTATTCGCTCCCCCTGAGTGGTATTCCGCCACGCATGTAATCGAAACGGAGGATGTTCGCTGGATCCCATGGCGTTGCCGATGCGCCCGCGCTTGCACATCACACACGGAAGCGCAGCGACAGGAAGCGGACCACGCTCGCCCATCGGTCAGGATCGGCCAGCCTGAGCAGTCGACTGTCCGAGCGCCAGCACCAGCACCAGCTCCCATCATCTCGCTGCAGCTGGTCGTCTTTCCGATTCCAGTTTCCATCTTGATATTTCTCCGACTCCGGCGCCCATGTCAGACTTCTGCCCCCAGCACGCCTCCTGCGGGCTCTGGCTCCCCCGCGCTGCCCTCCGAGGGCCGGTCCCGCCGGACCGACAGCGCGCGCTCGCCCGCTCGCCAAGCTTCGCGCAACAGCGGGCAAGACCAAGGGCACCAGAGACAGTACAGCCGGGGCGCTGAAGGAGGAACCCTTTTCGCTGGGGAGGGGCTCGGTGTTCCCTGATTGTTTTACAGTCTGCCTCGGGTTTTTCCTCAGCTTTTCCACTGGACATCGAAGCCGAACTTCTGGGGAAAGGGGGCCTCCTTCCTGATTCGGGATTCCTTGGGTCAACGCCCCGACCGTAGGTGCGTCGAGCACGAAGCCAGCCTTCCGGCAGGTGCCCCACGGGACGCCTCTCTTGGCATCGCTCGGACGTGTGCATTTTTCTTCCGGGGAGGACCATCGAGGAGCATCCTTGATCCTTTGGCGAAACAACCACGCACGAAACCTAAAAAAAAACACTGGGAATGGACGTCCGAGCGATGGCCAGTTCTCTGCACCCGATGTCCCCGGGGTGCTCGCGGCTGCCCTGCACGGGGCACCTCCGGGGGGCCCCACGGCTCGACGCAGAGGCGCGTCCCCGGATCCCCTGCGCGGCAGGATCTCTTATGGTGGCTGCGCCTGCTGCAGGTGAGTTCAGGTCCGGCAGGTCCCTCTGCAGGCCCTGACTCGGGATCCGCCCTACTTTGGCTTTTTTTCCAAGTTAGAATTGCGTCGGAAATCCACCTATAAGAGGCCGAAATAGAGTAGGGCGGAAATTGCTGCGCCCAACATAAAAATAGGGCGAATATCCACAGAAATAGCAACAGAAAAGTAGGGCGGAAATTGGCATCAGCGGGGCTTGAAAAGTAAGGCGGAAATTCCAAGCCCTACTCACGAATTTCCCCAAAGTAGGGCGGATCCGGAGTCAGGGTGCAGGTGAGTTCAGGTCCGGCAGGTCCCTCTGCAGGAGGCATGGTCTGACATAGTAAAAACTGCAGTCAACGCGGACAGCAAGGGCAAACGACTTTTTCAAGGGTGCCCTTGGGTCCTTGCCTGCCTGAGCCTCTGCGGCCCGTCCCTAGCAATCGTCGCAGGCCAGTTTCTCAGGTTCCCTGGGGGTTTGGCCGCCTGCCGCCCAGAATACTCAGCTCCGGCCTCCATGGGTCCTGCGTCCTTACCACGCGTCCTTATTATACGCTTTCACTGTAGTCGGGGGACGATGTTTGGACTATTGCTGGCGATTTGGGAGTATTTGTTGTGCATGTTTCCTTCTCCGTCAAATCCCGCCTGTAGTGGGACGCGCTCGACCTAAAAAAACATGTCTGCCTCGCGCTGCCCTGCCGGCCCGCGCAGATCCGGCGGCAGCCCTTCGGGCACGACGGGGCCGCCGTGCCGTTGTCGGGCTGAAGACGCTAAAGCAATGTCTAAAAACGCCAAAACAACGCATCCTCATCCTCCTCCTCCTCCTCCTCCTCCTCCTCCTCATCATCATCATCGTCATCATCTCCCCTCCTCCTCCTTCCCCTCCTCCTCCCTCCTCCTCTCCTTCCTCCTCCTCCTCCTCCGCCTCCTCCTCCTCCTCCTCCTCCTCCTCCTCCTCCTCCTCCTATTCCTCCTCCTCCTCATTAGCGTTGTCATTTGTTCTGCTGAGACCCGATGGCGCGAAAATGGTGATTTCCAAGACGTCGAGCTGAACACGCTAAACAAGAACAAAAAACGCCCTGGGCATATAGTCGAGGCGAGCCGAGCCTGGGGGAAGGCCTCGGCCGCGGGCCCTCTCGAGCGGCCGCCCGGGGCCCTCTGCACAAGGGAAGCGCCGCCTGTGCGCTGGCGGTGACGGCTCCTGGCCCGCGGCATGTTTCTCGGGGGCAGGAGCAGGACGTCGGGCACGTCCCTCTATACAGGGGGGGAGCATTCAGAGCTAGTGAGAAAATCGTCAGGGGACTATGTTTGGAGTATTGTACTCTGGGGCACGTTTCGAACATGTTCTGACCGCCTTTGAGCTTTCGTCCGCAATCCGCCTGCAGAAGGACACGCCCGACCTAACCGGAGCATGACTTTGAGACCTGTGCTCCCGAAGAAGAAGAAGAAGCAGAAGAAGAAGAAGAAAAAGAAAAAGCGCCATAAACACAAAATTGGTGGCGGTCCGCGCGAATTTCTTGGATCCGCGCTGCGCGCTCCGTGCGGTCCGGCGCAGATCCAAGCATTCGCGCGGAGCGGCGCCAAAAGTTTATATTTGTGCAGTCTGTGTATGTCTTTTGCGCTGCTCGCAGCTGCCATCGCAAGCAGTGCAGTGGCCAGTATTGGGGGCAGGTCTGCTGGTGTGAGGCTTTCAACAAACTGCGTGCGCGATGTTTCGAGCAAAGGCCCGCATGCCTTGGTGTACACGTGAGC